TGGTTCTGGGGGCAGAACCATCTTAAAATATTATCATGGGGAGGACGAGCTTGAACGCATTCCAGGCGGTTGTGTCAACGTACCATATGACGATCAAGTATCCAGTGGGTGAAAACGTTGGCGAGATTGCAGGGGATCAACTTACTTCGAGGAGCTGTTATCAAACGACGGTGAGTAACTATAGGAAATTGGCGAAGAGGCAGGCTAAGTCGAGAGAAGAAGATATTAATCGACCAGGTTGGTCGAGGTCAAAGGACGACAGGCTGAGAGTGGAGAAGGGTAAGGAGAAGGTGGATATCTAGCCCGGTGGGGAGGTCGAGGAAATCCAAATGATAGAAGGTTGCAAGGGGAAGAAGTTTAGAATCGGGAAAGAACTGGAAGAGCCAATCAGGTCGAGGCTGATTAGTTTGCTGAGGGAGTTTGCTGATATTTTTGCCTATACAACGGAGGAGTTGACAGGGATAAGTGCAGAGGTGATTGTGCACCGTCTGAACATCGATCTTAGTATGAGGCCGGTGAAGCAGAAGAGGAGGCACCATGGGGTGGAGATGGATATAATTATCAAGCAAGAGGTTGAGAAGTTGTTGGGAGCGGGGCATATCAAGGAAATTCAATTCCCAGAATGGCTATTGAATACGGTGATGGTGTCAAAGGTTGAGGGGAAATGGAGAATGTGCATTAATTTTTGTGATTTGAACAAAGCGTGCCCGAAAGATTTGTACCCACTGCCTAGGATCGACTAGCTGGTCGATTCAACCACTGGATGCGAGTTGTTGAGCCTGATGGATGCCTCCCAGGGGTATCATAAAATTCCATTGGCGAGAGAGGATAGGAAGAGGGTAAGCTTCGTGACGAGCCGGGGGACCTATTGTAACGCCATATTTATTTTAACGAATTTACCAAATAAATTACCAAAAATCAAATTTTATTTTTTTTTTAAAACCAATTCAAGATTTAAAACTCATTGGACGCTACTTAACTACCAACAACATTTAACCAATTACGACAAATAATTCAATAGTACACATGCATAAGCCAACACTTATAAAAACAACATATCATATTCATAAGTCTCAACGTCATTCAAAAAGCTTAACATAAATTCATGGTTTCAAGAGGAAGCATAAATAATCCAGAATGAAAGCAATTAGTTTATCATAAATAAAACAGGCTGAAGCACTGGTTTTGCTCGGGGAGACTTTACCCATCCTTACCTTGGGGCACCTCTGTACAAGGGTCATCTCTCTCATGAGCTTTTCATTGACATCCATCAGAGGATGATTGACCGGATTTCCGGTTGGTTGTATAGACACCTATCCTTCGAGGGTCGACTTGCTCTGATCAAGAGCACTCTTTCTGCCCTCCCTCTTCACCTTTGCGCGGTGCTCGATCCCCATCAGTCTATGATTCACGAGCTAGATCAGATCTTAGCCCGCTGTTTTTGGAGCCATGGCGAGGGCTCGCGGGGACGGCGGCAGACCCACTGGGTGAAGTGGGACTCCATTTTTCGCCCCAATTCGGAGGGTGGTCACGGGATTCAGTGCTTCTCGGATGTTGTCAATGCATTCTCCTACGGGATGTAGTCGCGCTTTAGGGAGGGAAAATCTCTATGGGCCCAATACCTCCTTTGAAAGTACTGCCCTGGTGGAGCCGCCCATCCTTGTAGGGTGACGGCCACTGCCCGGGACAGTCGACAATGGAGATGGCTCACCATTGTCGGCAGGTGTAATAACCCAACTTCTTGTTAATGAAAATGATGTATTGTCTTTTATTGATTCCGTTCAATTTCAGCAAATACGTTCGACGTTAAGTCGAACAGTTTATCCG